TCAGTACCATTCTTATTTTCATAGCTAATCTTCCGAAAAAGAAACTATGACGATTGCTGAGATATTCAAGAGGGAAAAATAAAGCACATGAGATCTACAAATTAGAACCAAAGAGAAGAAAGTAAGGTACCTTAGAAAGGCCATCAGTGAGAGACATCACACGAGCTCCTGCTGGAGGAATTAAGGCCTCTGGCATCTACTCTCGGTATATATACATTATATCAATACCCACACAAGCACATGTCCACAAAATTGCATGTTAAAAAAGAAACAAAAAAGGAGATAAACAAATTAGAGTTCAAGAGAAGAGAAACACCTTAAAAATTCTCCCTCCTCGTCTGCAAAAAATAGAAGGTACTCATAGCCAAGGAACGTTCAAAAGATAAGCCAATATGAAAATGAATTGAGAAACCCTCTTTTAGCTTACCCTCCCATTTTCTTCCATTTCTTTCCTCCAAATAGATAATTTACTCGTTCAGCCAGTTCCCTGGTCAGCTCAAGATGTTGCTTCTGGTCCTCTCCAACAGGAACCAAGTCACACTGCAAAGAAATGCAGCCACTGTCAAGTAATTCCAGGCATTTTCTCCTGAAATGGAAAGTATATGGAAAAACCATAGTCTATTGGATCATCACCATAAGTCTAAATGATGGACGGCGATGGAGAGAGAGCACGACCAACCAACACAGCCCCAATGGTGGGTCCCACTCTCACTCCATAATGGTAACGACTCAAAAGGACTACCGTTTTTCCATAGTACAATTGATAACTGTCACAAAATGATGAATTTGACATTTTCATTAAAGAAGTAAGATGCGACACCTTTTACCTTTTCGATTGGTAATGGAAAGGCTCAACTTAAAAGTCGAAATAATTGACAAATGTAATGAGTTTCAAGAAAATCAAATAATTGAAACTCATCATCCAGAAGTGACCTGTTAAGACCAATACAAAAATCAGGAGAATTAAGAAGCACAGTTTGTAACCAGTTACCTGATACAAAAGAATATCAGAAGCCATAAGCACAGGGTAAGTCAGCAAAGCAGCACCCACATTTTCATCTCCCTAGAATAGACATCAAAAAACACTCATATTAGTTCTTCACAGAAATCAGAGTTAAAAAGTGCATAGAATCTACAAAATGTTAATACGAAGGAAACTATATATTTTGCATAAGGATGCACTTCGGAAAGATAATGGTAAGTCTTTCCAATCCATGACTTTGATCAAAATAGGCTACGAATGAGAGTATTAAGCAAGCCGAGTTGTAAGGCTATATGGGTCACAACATGCAAGAAAGATAATAAGCACACAAAATGGTGAGCAGGAATTTCTAATGTCCCATATACATCATCACGGTTTGGTCTTTAACCTTTTTATTCTCTGCTAGATGGAGCAAATATATGCACTTGGATTAGTAGTACGAGATTAAGTTACTAAAAAGGCCTCTCACACACCTGAGAAAGGAGGAACAGTACCGGGAGTAAGCAAAGAGAATTTTTTCATTGGGGACTAGGATTAATAACTATGGGAGCATTAGTGAAGGGAGAAGAAACACTGACAAAGTACAAGGATGTGGCACTAGTGTCTCTACACTTTTCTCGTTAAGCTCATCCTCTAAAGCATGTATAAAGCTGGAAAGACAACTCTCAAGAGATTGGTGTGCACTCTCATTCAATGCAGTTTTGCAGGGTGGAGTTTACATTGTTTCCTAAATATCTCTTTGGTGCCACCTAGGCACTTCCTGAGAATCATTGGAATTTGGAGCTGATTATTTAGTGGGATTCAGACCTCTATCTCGAGGAGGATCATTTTCTACTGTGCTGTTGTTTAGCAATGTATGATATAGAGGAAGAGAAACATTAGAATCTTCAAAGAAGTGTGGGAGAGGGAAGAGGTGGACATAATAGATAGCATAAGAAGAACATATTACTGTCAAGTGTCAAAAAGAATATAGAGGAGTTGAGAGGGGTAAGAGTGGAAACACACTATCATAAGAGACAGCTTAATTTTGATGGCAGCTCATTTGGAACAAATAGAGCTGGGGGCTCATTCAAGAAATAACTCGTTGGGGTAAAAAATGTTGTTCACGGATCAATCAGGGTGGTGTATTCCATAGACGCAAATGCAAATTATCTTTTAAGTGGACAAAATAATATTTGTAGCATCACTCTCTGGCCACCAAATTGTTAAAAGGACTATAGTACAATATTCCTCTATTGTGGATTCCTGCAAATCTTATAGAAAATATTTATAGAAAAGATTCCAGAAAATGTAAGCATTGGGATGTCCATCACATACATTGGGAAGTCACTGAATGTGCACCCGGGCAACATTAGCAATTTAGTGAGTACTTGAAACAATTTCTTCATTAAGTAATGAAATATAATTTTCATAAAATGCAAAATATAAGTTCCTTTCAATTACAAAAAATTGCTAATCACTCAACAATGCAAAACATTATATGTCAAAGAAAAGTTTGAATATGCTAAAAACATACCAAGAATTCATTCATCATCATCATCATTTTAGCCTTTTCCCAATTAATTGGGGTCGGCTATACAAATAATTCATTACATTCCTATATTTCATTCTCAAAAAAGTTACATGTCAATATTTACATAAATTTCAAAAGTTACACGACTGACATGATGGGTACAATAAGGATTCAGGTTAAAGTTAAACAAAATAAAATCTTAATTTATGTACACATGTATTGGTGAGGCATTTCAAACCTACACAAGAAGTAATCGATAAGAAGCATCCATGCAGGAACCACGCACCGCCTTGCGTGATTTCTCTTTGAACTGAATCATTCTATTAAGCCAACCAAGAGGTGTAATTGAACTAAGCAACCACATTAGTTCGACATGGGCATGAACATGAGACTGCACAAAGATAGAAGCCTGCAGGAAGAAATCATCAAAATAAGATAATATGGTATGTTGGGTTCCCTCAAAACACATGACATATGGATAAAACAAATTGCAACTCTAAAGAATGTCCCAAAAACCTTGGATGGGTCTATGCCACATGCAATATAAATGGCTGCTGTGTTCCTAGTTGTTGTGGATAACTGCTGAGCATCATATGACAGAGTTATCTGCAATTAAATCAACAAAAAGAAAATAGTATAATTTACCTGGCTAAAAGATTTTAAATGAACATAAGCTTTTGATACATATCATATGCAGTAGCATACATGATTTGAACTACGAAGCAAAAAGAATTCCTTAAACAATAGAATGCAATAAACTCCAAAGAAAAATCTACTCATCAAACAGAAAATTAAGTAAAAAACAGTGAAAAAATTAAGTTATTCAAAGAAATTTTTTTGAACGAAAACTTGCAATTCTATTGAACAAAAAAGAACAATACAAAAGAGAAGATGGACTCATGAAACAACATAGACCGAAATTCCAAATAATCTGCATACAAAGAACAAAATAGAGGATCAACCTGCCTAGAAGTTACTTTGTATCTATCACTAGACAAAATGTAAGAGTCATCTTTTATAAGTAGCATCTTTTCGGAGTTATTATTCATTGATAAAATGCAGAACAACAAAAAACATATAGAAATAAATCAATCAAAGAAGAACCGTAGGTTAAAGGACAAAAAGCTAACCTATGGTGTGTTGTACATAAGACATCAAACAAAAAATAAAATCGCAAAGAAAAATCTAAAGAAGTTACCGCATGTAGGTCCACAATGAAAAAGAGAGTTTCATATGTGTCCTGCAATGACATTAAAAAGGGTTAAACCAAATGTGCCCCATATATAGAATAAAGGCTACTAGTCCAGAACCTGTGTGATGCACAGCCACAACTAATCCATTATAAATAAATTTTAAACTATCATATTTCAAACTGATACAAATTTTTTTTTCAGTAATAAAAAATTTATTTAAAATATGAAAAAAATATCATATAAATATTCCTTAATTTAATTGAAAATAGAAAACTAAGGGATTTAAGATGATTTTGAGAATTTATTAAACCTTAGTATTTTATTTTGAGAATTTATTAAACCTTATTATTAGAACTCTACTGCGTAATGATAAAGTAATTATCATCAATTATTGTATATTGGGAATTTTTTAACAATAATAGTTGTAATTAGAAAAATTAAAAATTTATGACAGCATCAAATTTCGTACTTCTTTAAAAAATTTATAAATATGATAAAATATATATATTTTGGGTAAACCTATAAAATATGCAAACATTATTTATTTCGCCTCTATAACGAGCCAACTGCTTCTCATATCCTTATTTTAAATCAGCAAATTTTTAAACAATAAAAATTCATAATCCAATTAAGAAATTGTTATATTTCTTATCCATAGCAAAAATAAAATTTTGAAAAACAGAAAGTTATCTTAATCTGAGCATGTTCCCTTTTAGTCCCCCCACCCCCAAAGTTTGTACTCTCTACTCTCTAGGTAAGCTTGATGTGGAGCATACTTTATTATCATATATATTCAATGGCTACATATTTAAAAAAACAAATAAAACGATTGGATTGTTGATAGGTTGCATTCCATGTATCATGTCCGGAAACTTCAGCTGGAATGAAAGACAATAGCGAAATAACCTGAAGCCAAACCCAGTTTTTTATGGCACCAAGATAGTTTCCAAGGTGTATTGCTCCGGTTGGCTGAACACCTGAGACAACCCTCTTCCTGTAATTTACAAGTTCCAAACAAGAAAAAGTAGTGAGTTTCATAGCTTCATAGCATTCTACACATTCTCAAATCATTGATTCCACTAGCAGAGTAATGAAACAAGCAGAATACAAAACCCTAAATCAATGATCAGCTCCTTGCAAGCGATGAAAACTAACAAAGTTACAAGAAACGAGGATAATAACTACCACTACTACAAGAAATTTGACAAGTGAGACCCTATAAGCCCGCTTAGAAGTAAAGTGACCAAACTCAAAGCTTAATAAATAAATATTAAAAAGAGTAATAAGAATCTAGGTTGCAAGATATACATACATACTTATATACATTCATATGTACATACCACTTATGTATTGATGTGCATACACGCATGCAAAAGAAACCTCAAAAGAAAATGTTGAACCTATACAATCCAAATAACTATACTAAAGTTTTCCCACCAACAGTCAACCTTCTAAGATTGACAACACAAAACAAGATTTCTAGGAAAACTAAAATACTTCTCACTTTATACGAATGACTAGGCAATTTCAACTATTGACTGCCACATCTTTTTGCATTGGCTCTTCTATACCTTCAATTACTGGCGATAACGTTTCATAATATTTCTATTGCATCTGTTTCAATGTTTCCAAGTTAATTCTGCCCTACTGGTCTTGCTGATCCAATTGTCATCAATTTGTACTTCTATTTTCTCACCCTTTGTGCAATGCATGTGCTAACAGCTAGTTTAATTCGCACGTCTTCTTCAGCTTCAACAATTTACAGGTAGCTATATCACTTCTATTTTCTCACCCTTTGTGCAATGCATGAGCTAATAGCTAGTTTATAATAACAGCAGGAAAATAACATTCAGGGGTACAGGGGTCAGTTAATTCGTGTCTTCTTTACAGGTAGCTAAATCAAATTGTAAAGATTGTGCAAGCATTTGGTTCATTTTCCATATATTCATTTTCAGGTTATTATTCTTTTTTTTAAATAAAACAACTTGAATAGAAAATTGGTAAGCATGCCAAATTCCATTAATAATCCAATCAACTTTGGACTTAAATTGTCATAATTGGTGCAAAATTAAAAAAATCAAAGAATTTCTGCCACAATTGAAGCTATGACAACCCACATTGAGAGTTCAGCTATTTGCAACATTTTGGGTCACCTCAAATCAAGAAAAAAACTGAAATATAAACAAATCATAGATATCGAATTGCGAATTTAAAGAAATGAAAGCCCAACTTGGGCTACGGCAACCCACATTTGGGCGTGGCCTACCTTCTCCACATTTCATTTCTGCAAATTTTGGTGGAAAGGGCCAAAATTCGTAGAAAAAATCTAAGAATTAAATCCCGAACCTCATGCCACTTACTTCACAGATATGGGGATCTCTCCATCACCCGATTCGGATAGTGAAGCATAGCAACGGCTAAGAGGAGCATTCCTCTGTTTGGTGAGATACGTGGCATCAATCCCGTACTTGCGCCATCGCCCTCTGCTTCTTCTCAAATAGTTGGTTCCAATACGGCAACACGCCCTGAAAAAAAGAAAAAAAATACATATAAAAAAAAAAAAATCGTTTATTTTTTATTTTTTATCTTTTCAATTTAGCAAGAACGCAGTGAATAATCAATGAAAAATTCAAAGAAATTTTAAAACTACAAATCATAAAAAACTGCAGAGAATGGGACGTTATAACAAAATAAAAAAAAAGGGAAAACACAGAAAAAGAAAAAAACAGGAAATGGTTGGTTATGTTGCTTACAGTGTGGAAATGAGAATAGAATGACCCATTTTCTATATATCTCTTTTCCTTCTCTCTCTTCTTTTTCCTTTCTTATTTTGGTGATAATGGATGCTTGAGAGTGGCAGTTTAGAGAGAGAGAGAGAGAGAGAGAGAGAGAGCTCCCCAAACTTTATCCTGAAAATGGCGGAGTTCAAGCTCTCTTGGTAGATTTGAACGAGGGTTTGCAACGAGGGAATGTCATTCATGCCCCCGAGGTTTTAAAAACGTGACGAAAATACCCTTGATCTTGTGAGAGGGAAATTGTGATGAGCCCAACCACGACAATCTTAACACGCATACATACCTCTGCCTTCTCAACTTCACTCAAATGAGTTGTTAACATTAGTGATGACTCTCTTTAATTAATAGTGGTGGAAACGGTTCGGTAAGGTCGGGTCCGGGCAAGACGCCGACCGGACAAAAAAATTTATGAGACTTGACCGGAAAATAATAATAATAAAATGTATATGTTTATATATATATATATATTATGTTAAATATATGGGTGTGGTTTTTATAAGGTTGCAACTTTAAACAATCCAATCAAAGCACCTCCAAATCTTATCATAACATGTAATTTTGGATTTGTCAAAAAAAAAAAAGTAATTTTAGGATAAACTTTTTTTAAAATTATCGTAAAATCTATTTTCATATCTAATTTTAAAATTTTAAAC